TTTACCATCAATGCTCTTATGAGGTATTTATACCTGCTCGGATGATGTTTCGGACATTAAATGCCATGTCAGGCGCTCCTAATATGTCTTATCCTACATAGACTGCCTACGACGGTTAATTAATGTTTAGTCTTACTCAAATCGAGGTACGTGTACTAGTAGGTCTTATCACCATCAGCACTTTATGTCAGACGGCCTAACTACCCTTGCAGGAGATAGAACTGCCTAACACATCCGTCCTGTATGGACCGCACATCGCGAACCCTCTTACTGGGCCGGTTGCCCCATTGGGCCAGGCAAACTGACTTCCTCTCTTTGGGCCTCAAAGCCCAATCCGCTAAACTACGTGACCCAACACAACCTAATAAATAAATCTTCCTTTTTATGAGTGTACTAGAATCAATACCCGCGGCTACGCCGCAGGGAGTATTTGGTTATAGGGCATAAAATTTGGTTATGGTCATGCAAGCTAACCGAAGTCTGATTCGAATTTTACGATTAATAGTTAATCGAGAATAATAAAATGAAGAAATAGAATAGTTGCATATTTGGTTTTAGATAACCTTTGGTGTTTGGTGTAACTGCACACCAAACTGCAAAACAAAATTCCCAAATAATCGCAAAATTAAACTACCCGAAAGCCAAATGGCCTACCCCATTAGGTAACCTAAACCAAAAAGAATGACAAATAGGTTAATTGGTTGAACGCAGTTAACTGCAACATAACAAAAAATCATAATATCTGGTTCTCAAGTAACCGCAACAACAGCAATTACAATTTCTAAAATGACAGCAATTCAATTTTGGATAACCAACCAATTCGGTTTGATTAACATAAAATGAACCGAGGTTCAGCCCTATTTAGTTAATGTATAGAAATGTCTAGTATCAATCCAATTCGACCCGCGCATCACCTTAAACACATGGATTTATGTGTCATATAATTCGATTTGGGTAGTGCATCACTTGACCTGAGGCATATGAGTTGCATGGTTGAGAGGGTTCAAAACTAACTCACCCCTAATCATAGTTCATTTTATTGGTCTCCTTTCCTTAAAACTAACGAAAGGAAAGAAAAACAATGAAGTACACAATAGATGTCAAACAACATAAAACAAATTAAAAATGGATAAAAAGGGGGAATGAACATATATTGAGTGAACAATGCATAAATAGGAAAGCTACGCCTAACCATCAGGACTCATATAATAAAAACTCTTGGAGAAAAAGGTAAAATTTCAACAAAAAAAAATCATTGAATGATAACATTCAACTTGTTGTGAGTGAGGAAGAGAGTTAGAAGGTTATCGATCGAGCACAACTTTGACTTGGATCATGAAACATACAATGAATTAACTACTACATAGAGCGATTGCGTATCCATATGATAAGCGAATTTAACACTAAAAGTGAACGCATACATATGATTATTATTCATAAGCCTAACATGTACAACACCTCACCTCTAATTCACTAAAAAAAAATCTCATTGTCCATACAACTTAAGACACCACTAATCGTTGTCTCTAGCAAGTCCAATTTATTAAGAAAAAATAAAGAACATTCATAATATAATTTGTTGGATCCAAGTTCTATCAACCAGTTAACTCGTTGGATACACAAATTCGATCAAGTAAAGATGGCAGCAAAATGATAGAATTGTAGCAATCAGTTATATATGTAGCAAAACTTAACAATTGAACATAGGAACAAATTGATCAATCCAAAGCAATATAAAGCACTAAGTTTCATGACCAACAACCACCAATAAGACCACGTTGTAAATTGGAAAAAGAAAGTAAGATGTGCACAGTGAGCAACATATATTAGCATATGAATTTTTCTCATTATTAAATTCATTCAGGTTTCATTTTCTTGAAATCAAATTGAACCGTTTAAGCCTCTTAATAGTTCATTTTTAAGGATATTACTTGTTCAAATTTTTCCGTTTTTTATTTTCGATTCGCATATTAGCATATGAATTTTCCTCATTATTAAATTCATTCAGGTTTCATTTTTTTGAAATCAAATTGAGCCGTTTAAGCCTCTTAATAGTTCATTTTTAAGGATATTACTTGTTCAAATTTTTTTCGTTTTTTATTTTCGATTCGATTTAGTTACACAAATCAATTTCCCATCCTAGTCATACATATAACAGCTTTGATCAAATAATAAAGACTTTTTCTTTTAATATATTTGAGTGTATGTGAGGGATGGGGTAAGATGACAAACCCTTTCATCCTCACTAAAGTTTAGTTAGTTCTTTACTACATTTTCATCAAACCTAAAGAACTTGAATATATCCTCTGTCTGTGATATCCTATTCGTGATTTTCAATGGCTTAACCCAACCACACAAAGAGTTTTCCTGAGAGTAGTTGACACGTGACTTAATTTGTAATAAAAAGAAAATGAATTCATTATCAATGTTTACTTCCCTCATAGCAACAATGAAAAAATCAATTAATTAAGATTTTGGATAATCTGAAGAACAAAATGAAAGATGGCAAAGTGTGCTATACATAGGACTATCAGTTCGGATTCAATTTCTTGAATTTCAACTAAACGAAGAGTTAAGGTGTTCTTATCGTTTTTTGATGGTTGAGAGGGTTCAAAACTAACTCACCCCTAATCATAGTTCATTTTATTGGTCTCCTTTCCTTAAAACTAACAAAAGGAAAGAAAAACAATGAAGTACACAATAGATGTCAAACAACATAAAACAAATTAAAAATTGATAAAAAGGGGGAATGAACATATATTGAGTGAACAATGCATAAATAGGAAAGCTACGCCTAACCATCAGGACTCATATAATAAAAACTCTAAGAGAAAAAGGTAAAATTTCAACAAAAAAAAAATTCATTGAATGATAACATTCAACTTGTTGTGAGTGAGGAAGAGAGTTAGAAGGTTATCGATCGAGCACAACTTTGACTTGGATCATGAAACATACAATGAATTAACTACTACATAGAGCGATTGCATATCCATATGATAAGCGAATTTAACACTAAAAGTGAACGCATACATATGATTATTATTCATAAGCCTAACATGTACAACACCTCACCTCTAATTCACTAAAAAAAAATCTCATTGTCCATACAACTTAAGACACCACCAATCGTTGTCTCTAGCAAGTCCAATTTATTAAGAAAAAATAAAGAACATTCATAATATAATTTGTTGGATCCAAGTTCTATCAACCAGTTAACTCGTTGGATACACAAATTCGATCAAGTAAAGATGGCAGCAAAATGATAGAATTGTAGCAATCAGTTATATATGTAGCAAAACTTAACAATTGAACATAGGAACAAATTGATCAAATCCAAAGCAATATAAAGCACTAAGTTTCATGACCAACAACCACCAATAAGACCACGTTGTAAATTGGAAAAAGAAAGTAAGATGTGCACAGTGAGCAACATATATTAGCATATGAATTTTCCTTATTATTAAATTCATTCAGGTTTCATTTTCTTGAAATCAAATTGAACCGTTTAAGCCTCTTAATAGTTCATTTTTAAGGATATTACTTGTTCAAATTTTTTCGTTTTTTATTTTCGATTCGCATATTAGCATATGAATTTTCCTCATTATTAAATTCATTCAGGTTTCATTTTTTGAAATCAAATTGAACCGTTTAAGCCTCTTAATAGTTCATTTTTAAGGATATTACTTGTTCAAATTTTTTCGTTTTTTATTTTCGATTCGATTTAGTTACACAAATCAATCTCCCATCCTAGTCATACATATAACAGCTTTGATCAAATAATAAAGACTTTTTCTTTTAATATATTTGAGTGTATGTGAGGGATGGGGTAAGATGACAAACCCTTTCATCCTCACTAAAGTTTAGTTAATTCTTTACTACATTTTCATCAAACCTAAAGAACTTGAATATATCCTTGTCTGTGATATCCTATTCGTGATTTTCAATGGCTTAACCCAACCACACAAAGAGTTTTCCTGAGAGTAGTTGACACGTGACTTAATTTATAATAAAAAGAAAATGAATTCATTATCAATGTTTACTTCCCTCATAGCAACAATGAAAAAATCAATTAATTAAGATTTTGGATAATCTGAAGAACAAAATGAAAGATGGCAAAGTGTGCTATACATAGGACTATCAGTTCGGATTCAATTTCTTGAATTTCAACTAAACGAAGAGTTAAGGTGTTCTTATCGTTTTTTGGTTTCGGTCCCAAATTTTTTGTGCTTAGCGTTTTTTGTTTGGTCAAAACTGAAAACAATAAAAATAAAATACCAACCAATACACAAACACTCAATATTCAATTAAGCCTCGGGTTTTATTTTCTCGAAATCAAATTGAACCGGTTAAGCCTCGGGTTTCATTTTATTGAAATCAAATTGAACCGTTTAAACCTCTTAACGGTTCATTTTCAAGGAAATTATTTTACTCGGATTTATTTTTGGTTCGATTCGGCTAAACAAAGTAATCTTCCCCTTTGTTATACATACAATATATTTGACCAAATGATAAAAGTTTTTTTTTAATATATTTGAGTGTGTGAGGGATGGGGTAAGATGGCAAGTTCTTTCATTCTCACTAAAAGACAAAAATTGAAATAGTAACTTTGGCAAAAAAGTGTACCTACCTTTTATATAAGATAATGGTTAATTGGTTATACTTTACAAACAAACCACAGAGCAATGCAATGCGCATCATGCAAGCTTTACATTACTCTCACGTCTCCACTATCGATGTTGTATAGTACTTAATAAATTGCAACTCTTACATCTCCAATATATCTGTCCTCGAATTGCTTCGATCTTGTTAGACAGGGTTTGCGTGAAGGAGATAGCTGGAGTTTTCTTGTTTCAAAGAAAACCCTTTAGAATTAGAAGCAACAGGTTGGGAAACCAAGATCAAACGAAAGAGCGGAAAACCCCACCTCCCTCTTTCACGCAAAACCAAATCTAACAAAATCGAAAGCAATATAAAGAACAGAATCGAAAGGAAACTTTGTAAACTTCATTAACTTGCAGAAGAACTAGAATAGTTTATTGATAATTGCTACAAATATTCACAGTATGATGAATGAGGAAAGTACATAAGCTGATGCCTACCACAGATTACAGAAGTCTTTCTGCTGTCAATGTGGGTCTAACTTACAAAATGGAAGAAAGGGACTTAAATATATATTTTGTAGACAGAGTTACGTTCTTCTCTTCGCAATGTATCCCCGTTGTGGAGAAGGGTAGCATTCCTATACTAATCTGTAGTCCATCCATGGAAAGGAAGGCTAAAACTCTCACGTAGAATTTGAAAACTTGCTCTTGAGAAAAGGCCCTCCTCTGCAAGTTACAATAGCCATCTCAGTCATGGAATATACACCGACACCGAGTAAGATGAGTTACCAAAGTGTCATGATTTCTTGAAGAACTTCCGGCCCCTCTCTCCGATGCCAGTGCCCGTAAGACCTGCAGCAAGGACTGATTTGGAATCTGGTCTCCATCTAAGTTGTTTGAGACCAGAGAACAAGTTCGAAAGCTCAGGAGAAATGGCAGCGTCGTGTACGTTCTTGCATGACTCTATCTTAACATTTTCAATCTCATTCCAGCTTAGAAGCACAGACTCGAGGCCTTCTGTCGTCACCAACGAACATCCTTCTAGATACAGCAACTTTACCCTCCTGCAACAGGATTTACCATTCATCAAACTATAATAAACTTATGTGCAACTAGACCAATTCAACCAGGCATCATCATTTCATGTTATTGTACTGAATTCCCATCCATCAACAGACTACAAGAAGTGGATCATATGGCTTAAGCTGCAAGCCATTGACACTTACAGAATGCATCATGTGGTTTCATTTCATGTTATTGTACTGAATTCCCATCCATCAACAGACTGTACTACAAGAAATGGATCATATGGCTTAAGCTGCAAGCCATTGAGACTTACAGAAAGCTTCATGTGGTTTTCATCATCTTTTCTTATCTACAGCTAAACCCAAGCCATAGGCAGACACACGGATATATGGAACCAAATAATCCTTATTTATTCAGTCTAAGGCACTAAAACATGGAGACAAATGACTTACACTACAGTATCAGGAAGACAAGAGTAGCTCGGAGAAGAACACATACAGAACTAGAACAAGCAATTACCTGCAAGTGCTAGCCAGGCTGAACGCTTCATCATCCAAACCCCAGCAGTCATGGACAACGATTTCCCTCACGGTTTCACAGGCCTTAAACAAAGCTCTAACCCCATTTTGATCTCTTAACTGACACCTTTCCAAGTGCAGTGTTTCAAGAGCAGAACAACAACCCAGATACTCATCTGGCCCGGGAACCGGATCTATTCTCTTGCACGAAAGTAACCTCAAAGTCTTCAAATTTTCACAGAAAGGAAGAGCAGCCAACCACCCATCATCCATCCTATGATCGCACACAGTCAATTCCTCGAGCATCTGGCAGCACTGCCCTATTGCCTTAATCCCATCAAAGCTACCCTCGCATCCACTGAGCTCAAGCTTCACCAATCTCTTGCACCCTTGAGCCAGAATCGTCAAGCCAACATCCGAAACCAGAGAACCATAAAGGCCATACACGTTCCCCACCAGTTTCAGTATCTGCAAATTGGAACAAGCGGCGATCCCACGAAGTACATTGTCGTTGCAGCGATGCAACTCCAACTCCTGCAACGTTGGGCATTCCTCAGCCACGCTCAACAGCCCGAGTTGAGTGGCACCAATCACAGCAAGCCGGCGCAGATTGGGGCACCCATTGGCCAAAACCGTGAGCCCTCTATCAACAATCTCGACGGGCAACAGATTCTCCTCGCAAACTCGCCAATTGGGCGAGAACCCAGAAACCCTAGAGTCCAAATGCGCGGAGACAAGCCGATGGTTCATGTAAATACTTGAATCCACAGGGGTAACAACACAGCCATTGATCAAATCAACGTACGCGAGATTAGGAAACCTAGCGATCAAGCGACCCGATTCGAGGAACTCCCAATCGAGAATCTTGATCGAACGAACGAGGCGGCCTTGGAGATTGAGCCAGCGCTTGCAGACGAGACAGTTGGATTTCCTCTGGGAGTCCGGCAGGAAAGACAGGATCTTGAGGAGGATTTCGTCGTTCAGGAGGCGGGTTCGATCGACAATGTCGGATAGATTGGAGATTATGAATGTCTGGAGCTTGTCCTTGGATAGCTTCGGAGACGGATAGGCCGGCTTGGAATTGGAAAGGGATACCTTGGGAGTTTTGGGGGAAAACGTACCTCCTCCTCCAGAGAGAGACGGGAGTTGCATAGCGAAGACGACATGTTTCAGTGGCTTGGCGACGGATCCTTTGAGCCATCGGTCGGTCCACGCCTGTCCCCTGCTCTTCTTTTTCTTCGCCGGCGTCGTCGATTTCGCCTCCCGTACAGAAGCCATCTCCGGCCGTTGGCTATGGTTTTCCCCGCTTTTCGTCGCCGATTGGGTTCCCTCTCTGCTCAGCCTCTGGTATTCCTCGCAAATGCCAATCAGCCTCTGGTATCTTTTGTTTCTCCCGCTTGGGACTATGTTCTCTGCTGCGGTTCAGATGCCACAACAGAGAGTAGATTCAACGGGTAAGAGATACCGTTCTCCAAGCTCTAATCGGCCACTAAATGGGATTTTTTTGTGATTCACTTCTTCTGTTTCCTGTTCTATTCTACAATCTAACACCTCTCTCTGGACCTTTCTCCTGGCTTCTCTGGTAAGACGCGGGTTGTGGGAATTGCGAAAGAGCGGGGAATGGGGATGGAAGAGTTTGAAGACGGACTGAGAGAGAGAGAGAGAGAGAACGGGAGATTTGAGAAAGATGTTGCCAAAATTTCCCCCTTTTTTCAGTAATCATGTTGCCAAAATAGTATTTATTGATTATAATTTATATAAATTGATTTTAACCAAGTGGGTATTGTTCTTTTTGTTTGTTTGCATCTTCGCCACAGTTTTCCTGTCTCTGCTGCTGGCTCCATCCTTCAATATCATAGCTCTCATTCGATAGGATAACCTGGAAGGAGGAGGGACGAGGGACATGTCAAGTATCCATTGGAATCGTGTCTTCTTAGAGTTATTTTTGGATGTACAATTCAATTCCGGTCGAAATTTTTCATTTTAGTTGGAAAATACAGTCACATGTTTGTGATAGTTTCTATGGTAACTCATAAAATTGGAACAGAAAAACATTATTTACGTTATTTATTTTTACAAATAAATGATGAGTTACTTTGGCATTGAACTCATAAGTTAATAATGAGTTTATACTTTATACTGATACAGCAGTCGATCCTCATTCATTAATGCCGTTGGTCAGTTGGTGGAATGGTCAACGCAATGCTTAGTGCTGTGCATTTCTCTATCGTCAGATTAAAAATATTTAAAAAAAATTACCAATAAAAATCTGTTTTAAAAAGTGAGGTGGATGGTGGGTGACAGAAGTTTCAAATAGCCGTTGCAGGAAATAGCCGTTTTGGGCCGTTGCAGTGTGTGGGTGGGACCCAGGGAGTTTCGATATTCGAAACTTGCAAAGGGAGAGAGTGACCCTACCACCAGGCCCAGGACGGCCGAAAACCTATTTTACCAAAAGCCCAAGTTGAAACTGAAACCCGGTCCAACACTCTCGTCTTTTTAGCATACTTGGCCCAGACAATGAGATGCTTGGGCTACAAGAAAGCTGCGACAGTGATATGATGGAAGACGCAGGCGCAGCGGCATAAATTAGTTTCAAGGGAAGAACCCCAATGCACCAGAAACCCTACTGTACACAAAATGGCATGCATGCAAGTTGGAGAAGAAGAGTCAACACAGACTTTGACCCTTGACGGCAGGCATGCACAAAAAGCAAAAGACAAATTCCAGAAGCTGTTCGTCAAGCGCTGCGATCGAACCAGCGGGCGAGAGATGCACACAGCCAAAAACATGAAAGAGACGCAGCAGTGCACCATCATCGGGAAAAGCCTAAGATCGAGGTGCGGCCATTTGCTGCTTCTTTATATTCTCGTCGTGTCTCACCATGCTGCCAACATCATTCAAACAAACACCAGATCAAGCAACAACGTTTTTTACCGAGATGATCGGAGTTAAGATCAAAACTTTCTCAAGTAAGAAGCAGCGTTTGTTGTTAACCTGATATCGTGAGGAGTGATAAATATCCACTGAGCTTTGTGACTTAGCGCGAAATCGACCAATGTGTCCAGGCTGATTTTTCGACTCACCGCATCCTGAATCCAGATGCGGAAGATGCATCCATTTGTCATAACCATAAAACAGAAGCATAACATGACAATGGGAGCCCCAATACTGAAAGCATACGTGATAAGATCCAAAATCCTTCTTACCATAAATACGTCAAACTCGTCCATTGCTCGGAATGGACACTCTATCATCTGATGAAGTGATAGTGCAAAGCATAGAGTTGAGAAGGAGCGTTCCCCACCTAATTAATATAGCAGCAGCAGCAACAAGCCAACAACAGTAAGGAAGCTTTAGGAATCATACTCTTGCTTGCACTGCTACATTGGATACATTCTGATAAATAGTTTTGAGCTACGTTTATTCAATGGGAAGAGAAATAGAAACCCTATCAAGAAGGAAGATTGAAAAGCAAGCCTATCCCAGGTCTTGGCCCGGCACTAATAAAAGATTAGAAGGATGAATTTGCAACAGCAGTTAGATGCTAAAACCCTGTGTCGCATGCACGAAATAAACTAGTATAGAGAGAACCTGAAAGTCCTCTTGTATCACGAACTGAGCTATTTGATGCATCTTGGGGCATTTTCACCTTAACCACGCAAAAAAAAGAAAAAAACATTAAAGCGGTAAAGAATTCAGCATTGTAGACAGAAGTAAAAGGCAGGAAATCACACATCTGTTAGTCTAGAAATTGTGTAGATGTGCAACGTTTTATGGAAAAAAGTGTTTACCTCCACTCCAAGGCTTTTTTCCTCGTAATCAATTTTGATGTTCCCGCTTATACCTTTGTTTCCCAAATGACCATTGAAACTGAAAGAGCAAAGACAAATGAATATTATCAATTATAGTTTCAGAGCAGACGCTGCAGAATCAGCACTAACACAAGTGAAGAAACGTACTTCCAAGTTAATTCACGCCTTGCGTTATTTGTATTACTCTCGAACTTTTGCCACCGCAAGTCTAATGCTTTCACACAGACCTACAGATAAAATGGTATAGAAAATTATAGATAAGCGAAACCATTATGAAGAACAGTAACGCAGACAAATAGGTGAAGGGAATATATATTCACATAAAGAAACCAAATTGGGATGTATAGCATACCTCCAATTTTTCTCTGAATGTTTTACACCATTGTCTTCTCTTTTGAATTTTATTCTCTTTTTGCTCATACATTATTCTCAGATCATCAATAGATTCTGAAAACCTGCCACGATAAGTGCGTAAGACCTTTTCACTTTATTTCATTAAAGGGATATAATGTTGGCAAACACGGCATATAACACGTACTGCTGACTCTCATTGTGAAGCCTCTTCTTCAGTCTACTTAAATGGGCACTAAGTTGCTCTGGACTGCTGCGATCTGATGATCCCCCTAAATTTTCAACTTCACTCTCAGGACATATGATGGAAGCCTTCCTGCATCTTTCCTGAAATCAAACACTGCAAATAAGCTCTACAGTTGATAGAACAGTTGCTTTAAATTAACTTTTAATAGTCGTTGCATCCACCAAAGAGAGGTCGAGAGTAACACGTTTTCAGCATAAACATTATGATCTCAGAAATGCCAGTGCCGTAAGCAATTCTTTTCAGGTACATGTATAGCAGATAAAATTCTTGAAGACACAAAGTCTTGTCACAGAAAACATGGCAGGGCACAGAATTGGATAACAGAAGATGGATATGTTACACTTCAAACGAGTAAGCATGAGCCACTGGAACCATGCTGAACTGACTTCCTACTTTCCCACAGGTCCATTAGTCCCATTTAAAACACCGAGCAGAAATCTAACAATCCATGATACTGTTAGCTCAAAGATCATGGAAACTTGCCATCTTCAGTTTCAAACACGTACCAATTTGGCAATATCAAGCAAAAAGAAAAATTATGGAATGTGGTCAATAAGAAGATATGATCATTAGAGGCTATAAATTGAAAACCAAGAATATAAGAGCAAGCACGTTGGAGGGCTGTTCAGAAAGGAAAACAAGCTTTGGGGATCTCAATGTGATGTGGTAATATGACATTTGAAAATTTACCTTCCGCTCATCTTCAAGCTTACTATGCTTTTCCTTTGCACTTTCTATGTCGACAAGGACCTTAGTAGCCATTATACGCTCATAATACGCTTTTTGCTGAGATGAGAAATTGATACTTTAATTAGATAACAGAAAGAGTTAGTTTGAAAGCGGGGAATCAAGCAACTCCAAGGGGTTGAGATAGCGGTAATGGATGTATAAAAACATCCAACCAACCGACGTTCAAAACAAAGGGCCAAAGTCACCTATGGACTAAAAATAAAAAAGACAGAAAGTTGTGGATCAAGAAATATACTGAGCTCAAAGGAAAATACCGTCTCGGCACTCTTCCGATCTGTCTCAATCTTCATCAGCTCAGTCTCAGCATCCTCCAGGGTCTCGAAGTCTTGTTTTGCTGAATCTACAGTTTTCCAATTAAGGCAACGAGAAATCAATGGTAGGGCGATCTCTTTCCTAAAAGAGAAATCCACCAACACTAGTCCTACCACATAAACTCTGAAATGACATCTTCAGAGCCGTAACTTTTTCTTCAGCTTTTTCAATTCCAACCTCGAGCGTCTCTAGAGTATCCTGTTTGTGTTTTATATCTTCTTCTATCCTCTGCGCAAGTCATGAAAAAAAGATGCAGTTAAGTTAGAGAAGGAATCCCAGTAAAAACTACATGGAAATTAGCAATTCCGTAGATAAGCATCCAGAAGAAAAAGTAGCATCAGAAACTTGGAACAAACAGAAATTTCTTCACGAAGTTCATCCAAAGTTGACGTTGGCAGCGACATGCTTGCATTGTCAATTGATCGCTCCAAATCCTGCAGCTCTAGTTCCATAGATGCCAACTTCCGCTCAGCATCCGAGCGTTTCTTCTACAATCGGTTAAAAAAGACAGCATATAATGTCAAATACAGAAGCACAAACAAAGGCCAAATTTCCAGTTAACATAAGGGAGATGCTCAAAGGCAATGCAAGACTATGTGGGCAAAAAGAGAACTACAATCCACATCTATCACAAATAAAATGGACATGTGAAATAGCAAAATCCTTGCAGAATAAGACAGGTTTAACAACAGTATGACATAGGACATAGCCAGGCATTATCTACCCAAAATATGCATCTACATAACCATGATAGCATTCAGCACGTGCAAACATTGAGCTGAAGAGTGCCTTCCATTCTTCAGTAAAGTCCCAGAAACGGAGGAACACAGGATGATTGGGAAGTTTTTAAGCTAATTGATAGGTGAAGTTATCACCTTTGCTAACCGCAGTGTTTCTCCAAGACTACGAAGAGTTCCCTCAGAGTCCCACTTCTTCCGTCTTAAATGTTCAGTTTCTTTAGCAAGAACATGGACCTGTTGCTCATGATCACTGATTTGATCATCAAATGAACCGCACAGACGGTTTGCTCTAAGCCACTTAGATGGCGGAAGCACTGTCTCCACTGACTCACGACAGAACCTAACAAAAAACTCAAGTCACAAGCATGCTAGCAAACACCAACAGTAAATTGGAAGCACTATCTCCAATTTACTTCTTTTATACGAAATTATGGACACCATCCATAGTTATTCTTTCCATATTTTATGAATAAGAATTAAGAAGTA